TCTTGAGTTAGCTTAGTATAGTCCGCGGCGCAAAGCGCCGCACACACCTTCAAGTTACGTGCGGAACAACTTAGTCCCAGCGGCCGCGGAAACAACTTCAACTAAATTTTTCCACTTACTTGTACACATTTCCTTCACTGTCTATCATATTCCTCCAGCCTTAAACCCCTATAACCACCGTTTCCATAGGAAAAAATGCTAGGACTAGGGGCATATGAGGTGCACTACATAAACTACTTTTCCTCAGAGGGCGTTAAGGAACCCTTTGGGGTAAAAGTTAAGTTAGTCACCAACATTAGATACCCATAGCTCCTAGTCCTAGGGTTTATAATCGTTTCATCAGTTTTAGTTTAGTTTAGTTAGATACCGCTAACGCTAGATAAATGGGCTTAAATAAGTACTCTACACTTAACTAATAAAACTGAGCTTAAATTAACAAAACCAACTAAAATAAAAACTAAACTACATTAAAACTAAACTTAAACAAATAAATAATAAAATAAAAACTTCAGTAAACTAATATCCCTGCTAACGTCAGACCGAATTCTGGGGCTAGGGGTATCAAGGGTGGGCGATCAATATACGTTTTACCCCCTTTGTCTATTAAAAGTCCATCCTAGTCACCAATGCAGAGATCAGTGCGTCAGTAAATTCAGTTATTCAAATCCTGAGCATCTTGCAGGATTTCAGCTGACCCTGCGTCCGACCCCACCTCCGGTCTTACTGACTCTGTCTTGAATGAGAGGGCGATAGATGCATCAAGAGTCCACAATCATTTAAAACTAATCCTCATGTAAGTCACTGTCTCAGCACCACTTTGTTGTGTATCATACGGTGAATCTCGTCACATATGGCGGTCGAACTTTCGGGTATTTGTCCTCATCATGCAGAATGCCTTCCACCCGTCATATAGCCTATCCCTATGAAGTACGCGTCCAAAATTTTGCTTCAAGCTGCATGATGGAAAAGGGTGCAGTTTGCAAAACGCGAAAAATGGCTCGGTTGTCCTTTCTAAACAGAAGCCAAAACAGGCAGATTTATTCGGAAGCTATCAAGCTGAACATGCCATTGTCTTCACGTTATTCTATTAACTTCCGTCCAGTGCTCCCAGCGTCTGTTAGTGTTGTACTTTTGCCTTGACCAACTTCTATTGCATTTACTTGAGTCTATAAGCAAAACGAGCACCCACGTCTCAGACTTTAACGGTCAGTGCAAAGAATTTGTTTAGATAACAACTGAATTACCATTTCTCGGAAAACGTTGCTTGTTCAGAAGTGTTTAACGAATTTGAAAAATTCGTTGATGCGAACACTTACACACACTACACGAAGAAGTGTGCTTTTGAAAGGAAATGTACATGCATATACAATATACATACATGTATATATACATGTATGTATACATGTATACATGTATATATTTATGTATATACATGTCTATAAAATTTATCCAATTTCTCCAATTTAAAATAAATATGCTCATACATACTATTGGACTTCAGCATACTATCAGTACCCCTCGCGCAAATTTAAAATCTTTTACGTAAAATGATGCGATTCAAGCCCAAAATGGTCAGTATCATTCTGCCGTACTATAACATGAAGAAAGGAAGTAATTAAGGTCCCCAAAGGCAAACGGTAAACACCATCCTTCTGCTCACCATCACTGAGGAATTTAAACTCGCTTCTGAAATGGGCAAAGCACACTTCAAAGATCCTATATCTTATGATTGTTTTGAAAGTCAGGCAAACGAAATCCTCGGTTTTATCATAACAACTTTTGTCCAGAAGCCGTCGATGAGAAAATAGAATTCCACTTTTTAAACTTGTTCTACTGCCCTAATATGGCGCGTGTTTTCGGGAGGAATATATTTCTGATAGGCAGTATTGCTTAATACTTGCAGCAAACTAATCAACCACCGTAAAATCTAGGGACTTTCTGTTTTCAGCAACAGCATGTAGCGAGGCGTTTCTCCCACTTCCTTCAACGCAAAATTTTTGAATTTTAATGCCTTATTAAACTGGAATGCGATCCTCAAACACCGACTCTTTCTTCATTCAGGGTTCTCGGCGTTCGAGTTCCAGCGAGTCCTCCGGTGAAAGTGAACTCCTCTTGCGCTCTGAACTACGGGAACAAGAGCATCGAGCCCTCATTGAGCTAGAACTCTGCAAGGTACGTATTTTTTTGAGATCAAATTGCTCTTCTCCCCTCAGCTGGATTGAAGCCGGTATTTTAAATGGTTGGTAACGCAGTAGGCATTGGTAAAGCAGGTTTCTGTGTGTCTTAGCTCGCAAACATGGCAGTGCCTAAAGGTCAAAGACCTTTTCGCAAAACAAAAATGAGGGCTAGTATTTTTAGGACGAGAATCGGATTCCCAACGAAAGTCGGAAATGCATTCAGGTGCATTCTTTCAGCAGATCCCATGGCTTGGGTCAACAATTTCTTCGGGAGACTGTTTGTATTCCTGAAAGGCTTGTCTACCGCCCGAGTCGAGTTAAATGGTCAAGAAGCTGGTCTGTTGTATAGGCACTTTTAGCTCAAATATAGAATAATTGATCCACTTTAGCTAGATGTGTACTATAATAGTCAGTGTAAGTCAGGGAGGAGAATAGTAAGGAACATATATTCTCACTCCAAGGAATCACACTAGGAGAACGTTTACATGTTACGTAAACAATCAGCAGAGGACGACAAAACAGTGTCCTCCGCATGACGAGGGCTTTCTTCTCCGGTGAATATTGCATGCATGGGACGTGTAGATGGGCTGTTTGGCTTTGTCAGTCACCTCATCCGACCCTGCATCTGGGCGTCCGGACTTTATTTAGCCACTGGACCCCGGTTAGTGAGGGAGAAGAGATTGCGTCGGAAACTGCGCACGCCTGCTATTATTATTATTACTTTGTTGACCTTTAAGTCACCATCCGGCATCCACCGACAGTTCGACTGCCTATCACACGATGCCCACCGTGTGCTTCAGTAAACTGAATGCAAGCGCGGGGACTTATGTATGAATTAGTCTTAAATGGTAGTTGACTTGCGTCACAGCCAACGCACTCACTCTCCTGCCCCTACCTGGGCTCGATGTCAGGACCCAGTCAAGAAGACCTGAGGTAGGAGAGGGCACCCCTAAGCGTACTGCCACAACTGGTCAGATTCCCAGCTGAGTGAGAGTGCCAGTAAGGCTAAATTATGAAGGAGTAATTGTAGGGTGACTCGCAGTCTGCGCGTCAGGCCCTTCATCAAAACACACATATAGGTGACCACGTTGTTTCGAGATATCCCGTCAGTTGGCCATCTCTCAAGCTAGGCTTTTAACGCACCGTGGTAGCTTTAGGCACGTTATATGGTTTATAGTGCGAAAAGTGCGATGAGATGTCAATCAAACGTTCGTTCCCCACCCCCACCATCGTTTGACGCCAACTATGCTCTAGAGCACATGATGGACATCATCATTAGTTACCGTTGAACTGTCCATTTAGTTACTGTTGTAAATATAGCCAAAGCCAAGATGTCCCCGCCTAATTGCGTCTTGTATTGGCCCAAAGGAAACACATAACGAGACGAGAGCAAAAACAGAAGTTTTTATTGTGTGCCTAGCACAAAAAAATCTAAGGTGAACAACGCGTGTACAGCAGTGTCCATCGAACCAATCAGAAACTGCTCTGGAACGAGTATTGACGCGATTGGCTTGTGGCCGCAGATTTAAATGTTAAATTATTGATTGACTGTCAGTTGCGTTCGCCGCGTGTAGAACGATCGATAGCCTGCCAAGAGCGCGGCTTGTTGCCTCCATAATTGCGCGTTGACATCAGCTTTGTCGCCAGTTGATTCGATTAGAGTGAGCCCTAACAGTAATCAGGGCTAACAGCACACTTGGTTGTGTGAATACTTATGGATCCTTATAAGGAGGACCTGTTTG